TTTATTTAGGTTATTTGATAGCTATAAATTCTCTGTTATGGTAAAACTTGAGATGAACTTGAATTTTAATTTGTTTTCTTTGTTTTTTTTATAAAGTTTTATTTTTTTCACTTTTCGTTTTTACCTTAAGTTTTTACTTAAATTTCCTTAAAAATAAGCTAAGTATGATTTCTATCATGCTTAGCTAATTTTCTCATTTAGCTGATGGCTTAGCGATGATCCAATTCATATTGTGAGAATTGAAAATCACTTAATATCTTCGGATATAATTCTTAATTATCTGCAAACTTGGATTGACAATCGGGTTTTCCTTTAAAAATCTTAACACTTTCATTTCACAACATTAATGCCCAGTAGAATAGGCATCGATCGCGAAACACTCGATCATTGTGGTATGTATGGTAAGTTTTGAAGTCGAAAATTGTCCTAGGATTCAATATGCGCACTACCCTAAACCAACTTGGTAGTTCGTTATAAGATGCATCACACTTGCCGTGAAGTTTTTTATTGGCATTATGCTTTGTCTTCCATGTTTTCTTGTATGAGATAGTGTACACATATTGTGACTGCATAGCTAAAATCAATACCGCAATAACTATATAGGAGTTTTCTTTGACCATGAACATGATGGCTTGGCAGATAATATTGGAGTCCAAATTGGGATGATCCTGGTTGATCTCTTCAACACAACATGTATGAGGACTGTTGTATACTGTTAGTTTCCATCTATTATTTTTCCTCTTCCTCTTTGATACATGAACCATCCAATTGCATCTATTATCACGTTGGACATAGTGACAATCATACTTATCGGTGATGGAACGGTCGACTCTGGACTGAATATAATTACGAATGTTGTAATTCTTAATTGCCATCATCGCTTCTTCTTTGGATGGAAACTTCATTTCTTTATATAACTCATCATCGTTGACTAATGAGTTAAATCCGTAGTCACCAACATTAGGCATATCTGCAAATTCTGGTATGTAAATTACACCATATTCAACTTCATACATGTGTGCTAGAGGTTCGGTGTGTACCGTATTTGTGGGAACTTCATCTATATCATCATCATCATCATCGGAGTCAATGTTGAACTGTAGTGATTCTGACTGAACGAATAATCCAATCTCAGCACCATTCGCACCTGGCTCACGAAGAGGTTCTATTGGTGGAGATAAGGGTTCATCCACGATGCTGACATTTAGGTCGAATAACCTGGTAGTTAAATATCTTCCCCTTGAACTTAAAGGCATCTCAACATTGAAGTCGAAGAAGCTCGCAGTTGAATACCTCCCCTTAGAACTTGAAGGCATCGTGTCAAATGGATACTGTACATATTGTTGCATCGAGTGTATCTCCATATTCAAGTTAAAGAAATTGGTAGATGAATGTCTTCCCCTTGATTTGAAAGCGATATTGCCATACAAATTGTTTGTGAAGCCACCTCGTACAGATAGTAACAAGTTGCTAATGAATGTCTCCCCATTGAACTTGATGGGATGACACCATGATGTGGATTTCACATTAACGAGTTAAAATCATTACACATTACTTAAGTTAAACTGTCAACTTGATCAACTTGTTGAGCCAACCCATAGTGGGAGCATAATGGCATACCACAAACCACATACACTTCAACAAATATCAGATACATATGTGTATCGGCGTCTGAATTTGATTTTGATAATCAACCATCATAGCAACATCATCATCGTTAGAGAGTTCAAACACTGTATAAGTTAACGGAAATATTGTGGTTAGAAATCTATACTAAAGTTAGGACAATCTTCTAGTATTTCCAATATAAATATTCCTTGAAATTTTAGTGATCAACTCCTCAAGAGTGATGTTTTTCTTGAAGGATATTCTAACAGAATGATTTGATACGAAAAGAACGTCAATTTCATCTTCCCGAATTTCTCTATCATAGTAAACAATATCTGAAATAAGCGTTATTTTGAGTGTTTGAAAGATTGAGAGTCTTATATCTGCAAAAACAATAGTTGAAATACGTCTAATTAAATAAATAATATATGAATTAAAATATAAACTAATCCACAAAATTTTAAAATTTTCACAATAATTTAAATGACACAATTTCATATTGTTACTGTATCGATAAAATGTCTCGAGATATTATCCCGCCATCCAATTTTACAACCGTAAAAAATAATACAAAATAATTAGTACAATAAAAATTGTTCAAATAAGTAAATATAAAATAAATATAATATAATATAATAAAAAATAGTTTTACCTTATAAAAACAATAACAAAATCTACTTAGTTTGATAGAAGGAATTGATAGAACTGAGAATAAACAAGTAATTTTGGTGTGATTATATTTGCATTCAGAGATGTTATTTATAGGGGGATAGATCGTTAAAAACTGAGTTTTCAGGTTTGGGTAATAGTGGAGTACCCAATAATTTAATGTGCATAGCAGATCATGATCCGCGCCTTCCATACGTGTCAGACGTTCAACCATACGCGCCTTTCCTTATATGGCGTTAGCTCAGACTAAACTCCGCGAAGATGCGACTGACGTCTGCACTTTATTATCACATGTCAGAAAGTGTGTTAAATCGATAATATTAGGAAATATAATATCTTATAAGTAATTATTGACTATAAGGTGATTTTTCGATAGAAACGACTAAGAATCATGAAAATGATTTTGGCGTTGTGGCACAAGGAAAGTCCCACGTGGATTCAGATTAAAGTGTGGGTTTCTCAGGTGTATCTTACAATTTTACATGCTACCCTTTGACCATTTTTTACGCATCCGTCTCCAATTACATCCACCGTGGCATGGGCTATCAATTGGGAATAGCATATCACATATGGTCAGGGATGGGTACTCATCTCCTTAAATATTATTTTTTTATTAAAAATTTAATTTTATCTCCTAAAATTTTATGAGTTCAAGTTCAATCCTTAAAATTTTATAAATTTATATTCACCCATAACATAAAATCTTACGTTCGTTCCTGCCTATGGTCGAATCTTGGTGAGAATTGGTAGAATTCCTACCCCTTAAACTTGGTGAAAACTACCTTAATTCCCTGAGGGTGCGTTTGGTTCACGGAATGTAAGATTACCAGTGGGAATAAAAGATTACCAGGGAATAGGATTACTGAGAATGTTGTATTTTGTGTTTGGTTAGTTTAGCAGGAATGTAAGATTACCGTGTTTGATTAAAGGAATAAAAGATTATTAGAATGTATATTTGACCAAATTGTCCTTATTATATATTTGTATAATATTACAAATTGTAAAATATTTATATATTTTCTTTAAAAAATTAAATTCATAATATTTATATAATTTTTTTACAAAATTAAAAATATAAAAAAGGTTTAATGAAAGGGTAAAATTTTTTTTAACCCCTTAACTTCATATAAAATTTTAATTATAGATTTTTTTTGTAAATCTAAAATAATTTAAGGATAAATTTATAATTTAATCTTCGTAGAATTTTTATTATTCAATGACAGAAGAAGGATATTTTTGAAAAAAATAATAATTTAAGGGCATTTTAGTCCAAAACGCCGGTAATGTTACAATACATAAGTGAAGGGAGGTAATGACATTCCCAGTAATATACACAAAAAAATCTACTATTGGTAATAAAACATTATCGGGAATGAGATTCCCGACCAACCAAACATGGGAATGTCCCACAATCCTTGAACCAAACACCTCCTGAGAGTTTTCTCAAATTTATTTTAACCCTTATAACTAATACTTAAAATGTGATAATTTACTATTGTTCCCGTAAACACTTTAAAGTTCTTTAATTTGATATCCTCTCACATAATTTGTAATTTTTATGTTAAATTTTGTTATATTTTCAAAGTAATATATTAAATTAGTGTAATGTATTATCTTATATAATATTATTTTTTATGATAATTATTAATTTGATAAATAATAAAATACATTTGATAACAAAAAATACATAGTATCTAATAAAAATTGAATATTTTTTCTAACATCATACTAATGCTTTGTTAAAACATCACTGCTGACCTCAATTACTATATATTTATATTGACTCAAGCATCACAAATAAATACTAATAATACACCCTTAATTTACGTTTGCTTTTAAGGAAACCTGTAATAGCTTCAACTCTAACCTAACGTCTAGCCCAAACCCTATTAAAAATAGACGCAAACAAACAACGTCATTAGCAATATCAGAATTTACTAAATACCTCGAAATCCACTGAATTGGGGATTATTATTAGGGGTGTAAACGAGCCGAGTCGAGTTCGATTATTGTTGAACTCGACTCGATTCAAAAACTCTGAAATGGAACTCGACTCGACTCGAAAATTTACGAGTTTAAAATTTTCAAGCTCAACTCGAACTCGAAATCCTGAACTGAAGCTCGTGAGCAGCTCGAAAAGGCTCGAAATGAAAAAAATATTCTTAAACTTAACTCGATCAAAGCCTCAAACTCAAACTCGAACATAAACTTTAAATATATGAAATCTTACTGTATTTTAAAAAAATCAATACATAAATATTAATATTATTATTAATTTATTTTTTTAAATAAAATCTTAATATATTATATTTTCGAGCTGCTCACGAGGTTTTCGAGTAGAATATCGAGTAATTCGTTTCAGCTCGTTAAGAACTCGAGTCGAGCTCGAGCTCAAGTCGAGTCCATTCGATCCGAGTATTTATCGAGCCTTGATCGAGTCGATATCGAATAGCTCGCGATCTGTCTCGTCTCATTTACAGCCCTAATTATTACAATAAATATATAAAAGTAATTAAATATAAAGTTTTTTTAATATAAGGTTTAAATATCTTTTATTAGAAAAATACAGCTTTTAAAATGCAAAAATCACATAAAATAAGTTTTAAATATAAAAAATTCCGTTCCCTCCAAGTGTGTCTACAATTGAAAACGCTTCACTGTTCACTCATTGTACTTTGCCCTGCTTCTTCTCTGTCACGCAGAAAAATATTGGGTCAAACTCCATGCCGATGAGAATAGTTTTGAAGTTCAAGCCCCTACTTCTATCTCCCTTCTCTAAATCCAAATCTCCACCTCCTTTGCGCATCGCCGACGTACTTTTACTCCAAGACCATGAAGAAGATCGCCTCCTCCACGCTGATGGTTGCACAGGATCATCCAACTGCTCCAAGCCCCGCCGTATCGCTGCTCGCTTGTTCTTTTGCTTTGCCCGCGGGAAGCTGAAGAATAAGATTCACGGTGACCAAAAGAAAGGAGACGATGATGTTGCGTCGCCTGGTCATGTAACCCTCGGTCCTGTTTTATCACCGGGTAAGATTAAGAACATCATTTTCCTGTTTATATATTATATACCGGCTTTTGAAACTTCACATCTTAATGTTGTTTATTAGTTTTCAAAGCAGAAATATGTGGGTGTGAATCTAAATTTAATGTGGGAATAGGGTGCTGTTTGCTCCATCTGATTGCTGAAAGTAAGAACGAACTCCAAAAGCTGACGGGATTGAGGATCCAAATGGAGAGTGTTCTTCAAACTGTCAAAGAGGGGGTGCTGAATAAAGATTTATTGGCTATGGAATCAAATGAAGGGGATGGGGTCAAGGAAAGTTTGGGCTTTAACAGTAATCTTATATCAAACAAAGCATTGCTTGACCAGTCTTTGAAACGTGAGGATGCGCCAAAAGGAGATTTAGAGGGAATGGACAGACTCGAAGCAGAGCTTGAAGTCGAGTTGGAACGTTTACAACTCCTTTTGGATTCTGGAAAATTCCCCACCAACCCACCCGAAGAGACCATCGAGGTACAAATAAAACTTGGAAATCCTTAATTTCCCATGTCTAATTTTGATTCAAATAAAGACAAAAAAAAACAGGTTCAGATGATGGTCATTTTAGCAGTTTATGTGGAACATTTATGCCTGAAATTGAAAACCCAAAGATGTTAAATTGTGTTGTTTGCAACTGTAGGAATGTAAAAGCTGCAGTCTAAGCCATGGGGAAGCAATGGATGATGTTGAGGAAGAAGACCGTCGTGATTCGCATTGTGGGGTTCCTCCGTATGAACTGCAGAGGAAGTTGCATGAATTGCTGGAAACAAGACAGGAACAACAGATAAAAGAGCTAGAAGATGCTTTGGAAAGGGCAAAGAAAGAGCTTCGTGAAAAGGAAAGAGAGATTTCTTGGTGGAAAGACACTGCACATCTCATGTTAGAGCATGCTAAACAACCTTCACTACTTAATTCCCAGTACGTTCGACATGTTCAACACCTGAGGTGAGAGAAATGATATGGGAGTACCTTCGAGATAATTATGCTTCCCCGTAATGTATAAGGTGTAATTGTTGGTTTTTAAAAATGAGTTGCTTTTTGTTGAAACTTCAAAAGCATTTGTTGTTTTGATATATCCAGTAATAAAACAGGAAATTAATTCACAGATTAAAGGATATATATATGTAATATTGCCATGGTTTTTTAGCTATTCTAAGAAAATGTACTCGCCTTGATACGAGAAAGTATGATCATACAGTGATTAAATATGCTCGCAAGGGAACGACAAAAAGAACTGATATTACATTAAATTTTCAGCAGCTGTTTTAGAATACTTCACACATGATAAGAACTCCCCCTACTTCTTTACACTTGCTGCAGTTGTTGAATCTTCTTTTTAAACATCGTGTTAGGTATGACTCATAAATATACCAGTAAAGAAGACAGAGGATGGAGCGTAGCGAACATCATCTGTCCTTACAAAGAAAATTTCGTAGTAGGGATTACGATTATGTAGGTTGGAGGTGCAGAGCACAACCCCGCAGTACGATACATGGTTATTTTTGTAAATATGTAACAGAGTTTATTTATAAAATGAGATGTAATCAAAACCTATGATCTATTATTGAATGAAAAATCTAGCGCCGCCTAGGACACCGAGGACGTAAGCATATTGTTGAATCTCGATAAATTCTTGTGTTTTTTTCGTTTTCTTTACTCGATTATTCAACACATCGGCATGCCATCCCCTAGGAAATAGAATGCCTCTGTGTTTTGCAGATGAAGCAGACGACTTGGTATCTCCTGGAACCATTGAAGCCGGGCTTTGTGAACTTCCAGATGTCTCAGAACTTCTGTTCTCCCCCTGCCCTTTTCCCACCACCCACAACTTGTCAAATATTCTTCTCGAACGAGATGGCAGAAGCTGCATCCCACTTTTACTGTTTCTGTTATTCTTCACCAATTTTACAGCCATCCTCTTTTATCTTGATCAGATCCATCTGTTTCTTGGAGTTGCAAATCTTCAGTTGCAGTTTTCTCCCATTCTTCTTCAGTGTTTGTCGTGGACTGGGAAGTGTCATGTGGATTGTTGTTAAGTGACTTAACTCCAGCTGCAGCTCTGGCTTGCTCAAAGTAGAGAACTTGAACTACCACCCGAAGTGGAAGTCTATCATTCTGCGCAGCATGCATCGATGCATCCATTGTGAACTTCTTTACATCCATCAGACCACAGTTTCTTCCTTTCGGCCTTTGTCAATCTCGGATGCTCCTGCAGAAAACAACACTTTGTTACAAGAAACAAAGCCGCATTTGAAGAATTTCGATGCCATATCATACACAACCAGTTGTACAAACAACCCAAAACTCCAAAAACCCAACAGACTGTCTCAAGCAGCAAGATATTTGATCTAGTAATTTGAATTTTATAAAAAAGGGATAATACATAATTTTAGAATTTGAGAAGATTAAAATAATCGACATCCATAATTAAAAGCCTACCTTGAGGTAGATGTCAATGGCTTTATAGAGTCCATCATGTCCTGGTCTAGCAAACTTGGGGATAGACTGCGATAAGTCCATGAAAGTAGCATGCGAAAGATTTGGGTCACGTACAATTTCTTCAAGATATGCATCCATCAGTTTACTAACCCTTAACATGGTTCCATGCCCCAGAACAAAATCAGTACACCCCAGATCACTATTTCCAAGATCTAAATCTCTACCACACTTTTCATGCATCATATACCGATTCACAATAGAATGCACCATCTCAACATCGTATAAGGTAGTTTGGGGAGGCTGTGCTGGGATTAATAAATCCTAGAGAGAAGATTCCTGCAACTTTAAACTTATCCTTTGCACTAAATCTTCCTTTGCTGAATCATCCACCCCAACCAAAATGGCAACTTTCAACAGCTTCAACAAGAAACTGCATGAACAACTCACACCCTTGTCCGAAGGTAATAAGCAAACAATTGTTTCCACCAGCAATTTGTTTCTCCGGGAATGTGCATCAGAAACCAACGAATCAACAGAATCTGGCAACCATCTGGCAGCGTATGTTTTAAGCGCCTCGCCTATGATCACACCATTCATTCTTCCCTTTGATTTCACAACAGTCATGACTCGTTTTTAGAGAATGATATCTAGCTCACATATATCTTCCACCCACCAATCCTTTGGTACAGATTCAATCTTTTCTCTAAATTCCATAGCACACTCTACTATCTTTTCAGGGGCTGACAACTTCTGGTTATATGTGTAGGACCATGTGACATTTGCAGGATCGACAGAGGTTTTCAATGCAATTGAATCAATGCATCTTCCAACAATCTTCAGGTTCTCAGACCATGGCAGAAGAGATTTCGTGGTTTGTAGAACAATGATGGAATCTTTCCAGCTACGTAATATACTAGAGTTAAGAAATACTTCAATTTTGAAAACTAGGTTACCTCGATCAACATACTCGGTCATCTCTAAGTATTCAACTGCACAACGAGCAGCCACCACATTGTAAGCATTTAAAGTAACAGTCATACCATAGCAGAATTTCGCACAAATTTCAAATGCTTTTGGTCCACCAGGAAAATCAACCATATCAACTTCATGAGTGTTCTCTTCACTAGCTTTCATCACCAGCTTTTGCAATCAATTGCTCTTAGATATTAGAGGGAACTGCAAAGGCGCATTAAACCACAATCAAAATTATCAATTATAGCACAACTGCTCTCCACTGGCAGAGCATTCTACAACTTAATTCATAAAAACAACAGTTCGGTTACACTGAGAGAATGATTCATTTGCAGCCCAACTACATTGGTAATTATGCTAAATTGCCGAATTTTGCAAACTTACACTGAAATGATGCCAAAAACAATGTTTTCAATCAGTTTTAATGGAAATGTAAATAATTAACATGAACAAAAAGAAGGATATAAATTCAGAATTCACAAACACATGCACCTAAAGAAAGCATAAAAACATAGCAGAGTTTGAGCATACCTTGTGAAGGTGAAATTTTACATCAGCAACATTTATGGTAACATCTGCTTCTAAATCAAATGTGACGTACCTGCATCAACAGATTGTTATGGTCCTCAAGAAATAGAGAAGACAATAGACGAAGAAGAGAAGAAAAGATGAGAGAGTAGACAAGAGAATATATGATTTAGGATAAGGAATGGGGATTTTAGAGAAGTAGAAGAAGAATTTTAAGAAGAGAATTTGTCATTCATTCATCAAAGGTAATCCCCATGGAATCGGGTACAGATTATATAATTACAAGTACCACAGCTGTATGTATTGGAAATCTAACAAAATAACTAACTTGTGATGACTCATGCAGGATCATATGCAGTTATTGCCACATCAGAATACAACCCATGGCCCACCATTAACTAAGCCCACCTCTTGCCTCAGATGACCCAATATCCTCCTCAATTCTGGTACCAACAGTAAATCCTTCATATGACAACCCATCCATCCCATTTCCATTTCCCTTCCCGTTCCAAATCCCTGATTTGCTCCCAATCCCTAATTGAATCGATTTCATCCCCAATTCCCTTTTTTTCAACCCTAATTCCTCTTCCATCATGACAATCAAAATTCCCCAATTCACTACGTGCAATCCCTAGCTCAATCCCTAATTCATTTTCTGAATCCCCAATGCCCTTCGCTACGTGCTTCTCTTCCTCTCTCCCAACCGTGACAATTCCTCCCCTTTAGACGATCCTTGTCCCCAAGGATCAAAGTATCGCATTTGTGATAGCAAGACCACAAAATCCTTTGAAGCTGATATGTCAATGAACCCAGTCTTTGGAGCAGCACTCCATTTACTGCAATATTTATCTAATGCTGCACTTGTAAATGCAAGTGCGTATTCTAACACACTTCCCGTATTTGACAGCCCTAGGGTTCGACACAATTGCAGCTGTAGCAGATTTGAAGAGGTTGACAACAGGGCTGTCTCCACCATTTTGTGAATACAATGTTTGCCCATCTGCACCAGGAAGCAAGCCCAACCAACCTGCTGTTTGCATGAAATGTGAGGTATCCAACTCTCTCAAAACAATATCAAGGAGCCCCATCCAATATAATACACTCCCAATCTCCTTTATTCCGCGAAGAACTTCTGCTTTGAGCTCTGGTTTTGTTCCCCAGCTGAGTTGCTCTTTAACGAGCCTCATACATCCTGTCACACCCCCATCAAAAAGAAGAAGTCCAATTGATTTCGGCAGTGCTTCTTGCAAGCCTGTGATCATAGGCTCAAGTGTAGCAATCTTGTTTGATATATGATCCAGCAGTGCTCAGATAAGCCACGGTAAAGACCTAGATCCTAGAAGTTTAACAACGGAAATCATGTGTGGAATCCCAAAAAATCCACCATGCAATCGCGCAAAACTTTGATGTGCAAAATTTAAATCTTGAGTACCACAATAGAAGTTTGGCTTGGCATGTGGAACTGATGGCTTTTGTACAGGAGCAAGAGGAACTTTTGAAGATCGGATAAAACGCTGAGTAGTATTGCAAAGGATAAAGTTTGGCAGAAAATCATTTTGCATCTCAGACCAACTCTGAGAAGCTAGTCGACTAGAAAATGACACAAGAGATATGTTCTCCTGCATCTCATTCAACATGAGACTGAATGAGTCTATTGAAAGATCTTTTGAAAGTAATTCATGGGAATGCTTCAGTATATCTACCAGCTTTTCTAATTCCACTATGGAACATAGATCTTGAGACTCAAAACGATCAAAGAGAAACTCAAGATTTTCTCTGAAGACTTTATTCATCCGTTCAACAATCAAACTTCTTAAATTAATTGTCCTCCCAAGTAACTTCACTCTAGTCATCTTTAGAAGGGAAATAAACCACATATGTTGGATAGAATACTTTTCTCCATTGTCCAAGGCAAAGAGGAATGAGGGATCAAGCAGTTCAGTAGAAGACCAGCTCTTGTAATATGTGAAAATAGCTTCACATAATTATGAAACAAATATATCAAAACAATGATCAACCTCAGCTTCAATTTCATCGTAGAGGAAGCGTTGCTTTAGCACAACCAGTGCATGTTGTGCTGAGTCGTTATAAATGTCAAATGGCATCAACACACTTTCAAGAAGACCAGCACTTTGAGACTCGAGCACGTGATCCACCAGCATCCAAGGAAGGAAACACTCTATTGGAAACTGAATGACACGAGAAGACTCCAAGTAAAATTCTCTAAACCATAAGAAACCAAGATCTGTCAAAGTTGCAATTGAAATGGCGTATGCTCCAAAGTTATCTGCCGGAAACTTTGCCAAGATACTGATTATATCCAAAACAACACCATTTTCTTCTGTTATAGGAAGATCAAAACCAAACAACGGACGTTTTCCACTTGGTTCGGATATTATCCATTCCAGCTTTTGTTCTTCAGACCACTCACGGTCGGAACCAATTTCCCTTTTAGTCATACTCAAACTCCCAACAAATGGACTTATACTTCTTCCCATCAACAAAAGCCGAAACAAATAAGGATCAAAGACCTCAACATGTGTATTGACATTCATAAACTCTAAGAAATAAATTTCTCTAAACATCGATTGAAATGCGTCTTCTACTCTTATAGACATTTTATCAAACACGTGAGAAACATCATGTTCCCTTTTTCCTTCAGGCGAATAAATTTTGAAGTGGATAAAAATGAGTTGAGAAGTACCCAATGAAGGTCGATCCATACCTTTTTCCCAAGTAATTTGTTGTTCATAAGTCATCTGAACTGGAGTTGATTTATGATAACTAGTAACACTCGAATCAGACTCTTTAAGCATCTTTTGTTGCACATCACGAGGGAACAAAATTTGATTAAAAACACCGCAAGTCTTGAATTGAGAGTCTCGTAAATCTTCTGTTTTGGCATGGGTTTTAACCAAATTCTGCTGCTTGCTCATGGGAGTTGTCTGCTCCATTTCTTTAGCGTTCTTGGTTATTAGATTCAAGATTCTTTGAAGGCATTCCTTGGTTTCTTTTGATCTGGCTCTAAACTGCTGAGTCTATTTTCCCAAATTGTTTTATGTTCTTCCCACCATTTCGGTGCAGTCTTGGATGGTTCTCCACTGCTCGTTTCTTGAATTTCTGGAGGTTTATTTTCCACCATGTTGTTTTCTGTTTACCCAGCTTGAGTTGGATCAAGAATAGGCTCTGATTACCAATTGTTATGGTCCTCAAGAAATAGAGAAGACAATAGACGAAGAAGAGAAGAAAAGATGAGAGAGTAGACGAGAGAATATATGATTTAGGATAAGGAATGGGGATTTTAGAGAAGTAGAAGAAGAATTTTAAGAAGAGAATTTGTCATTCATTCATCAAAGGTAATCCCCATGGAATCGGGTACAGATTATATAATTACAAGTACCACAGCTGTATGTATTGGAAATCTAACAAAATAACTAACTTGTGATGACTCATGCAGGATCATATGCAGCTATTGCCACATCAGAATACAACCCATGGGTGCGTCTTCTACTCTTATAGACATTTTATCAAACACGTGAGAAACATCATGTTCCCTTTTTCCTTCAGGCGAATAAATTTTGAAGTGGATAAAAATGAGTTGAGAAGTACCCAATGAAGGTCGATCCATACCTTTTTCCCAAGTAATTTGTTGTTCATAAGTCATCTGAACTGGAGTTGATTTATGATAACTAGTAACACTCGAATCAGACTCTTTAAGCATCTTTTGTTGCACATCACGAGGGAACAAAATTTGATTAAAAACACCGCAAGTCTTGAATTGAGAGTCTCGTAAATCTTCTGTTTTGGCATGGGTTTTAACCAAATTCTGCTGCTTGCTCATGGGAGTTGTCTGCTCCATTTCTTTAGCGTTCTTGGTTATTAGATTCAAGATTCTTTGAAGGCATTCCTTGGTTTCTTTTGATCTGGCTCTAAACTGCTGAGTCTATTTTCCCAAATTGTTTTATGTTCTTCCCACCATTTCGGTGCAGTCTTGGATGGTTCTCCACTGCTCGTTTCTTGAATTTCTGGAGGTTTATTTTCCACCATGTTGTTTTCTGTTTACCCAGCTTGAGTTGGATCAAGAATAGGCTCTGATTACCAATTGTTATGGTCCTCAAGAAATAGAGAAGACAATAGACGAAGAAGAGAAGAAAAGATGAGAGAGTAGACGAGAGAATATATGATTTAGGATAAGGAATGGGGATTTTAGAGAAGTAGAAGAAGAATTTTAAGAAGAGAATTTGTCATTCATTCATCAAAGGTAATCCCCATGGAATCGGGTACAGATTATATAATTACAAGTACCACAGCTGTATGTATTGGAAATCTAACAAAATAACTAACTTGTGATGACTCATGCAGGATCATATGCAGCTATTGCCACATCAGAATACAACCCATGGCCCACCATTAACTAAGCCCACCTCTTGCCTCAGATGACCCAATATCCTCCTCAATTCTGGTACCAACAGTAAATCCTTCATATGACAACCCATCCATCCCATTTCCATTTCCATTTCCCTTCCCGTTCCAAATCCCTGATTTGCTCACAATCCCTAATTAAATCGATTTCATCCCCAATTCCCTCTTTTTCAACCCTAATTCCTTTTCCATCATGACAATCAAAATTCCCCAATTCACTACGTTCAATCCCTAGTTCAATCCCTAATTCATTTTTTGAATCCCTAATGCCCTTCGCTACGTGCTTCTCCTCCTCTCTCCCAACCGTGACACAGATATTCTCTGTTTAAGCACACGAAGAAGAAACTTAAAGCTAGATATATGAACGAACAACAAAAAGTACACACGAAATTGCATTGTATTATTAAAGACTAATTCCAGTTCTTATGGTTGATTTATTTAACTATTTTACTATTGCACAAGCCATACGACATCTACTTTTACACAAGGGACTACAGCCATTTCAGTATCTCAGACTAAGTAAACAAAGTAATTCTAACATTTACATTCCATGATGCCATTAAACATCCATGAGCTAACGACTAATCAAAATGGAAGAAACCATCTCTGGAGCATGGATGGTTAAGAGAAAACATATTTTCAATAGAAAATACAAATAAAATATCTAAAATATATAAAAAATTGAAAATTTTTAGGGTATGACCGCCCCCACCCGCCTCTCCTGGGTCCGTCCCTGTTTATTGTGATCTCATTAAATCATCCGTTCAGTGAATGTATTCAGGGTACTTAGACTACATCACTCGTAACGACCATGCTTTTATCAACAAAGTGATAAACAGATTCGGCTATAAGAAGTTGTTAGGGGAAGAGACTTTTATAGGCATGTTATGGTGTAAAATTGAAGCTTGTTCCTTGCTGGGAGATCTGGGAAATGCCAGAAAGGTTAGTAAAATATGCCTATTGCTTACAACAAGAGATTCTTACAACACGATGATTAAAAGGACTGCAGCCCCAATATGCTTTCCCACTTGGACCACTAACTCGATGAAAAAAATATAAAGGACATGTTCAACAGCTGGACCACCTCCCTGATACTCATCTCCTTTTTCACTCTCCAGTTCCCTTCCCCTCACAAAAACCGAACAATAAAAGAATAATATTGTAGTGAAAACACCCATGTGGTTAATCTGTCACCGACCCAAAGCAGAATCAAGAGAAAAAAAATACATGTTGAAGTCCAATGGAATGATTAACCGCAAAAAGTATTTTTTCTAAAGCTATGTTTAAAAAGAAGTCATAGTTTACAATACCAGCACATAGAACTGAAGTAATACAAAATATAATAAGATATGCATATCCAGAAGAAGAAGAAGACAGAAACTAGAGCTTACGAAATTGCAGCACGAAAGCTGTGGAAAACATAAGAAAGCACAACGGAATACAAAATAAGAGGCAAAATCAAATCAATCCACGATAGCAGAATGCTAAGGTCCAGATTAAAAGCATCAATGATGAAAAATGTTTTGTATTGCGTTTTTATGTCGAAGAAAAGAATGTGGGAGTAGGGAAACATATCTTACCGGATGCATTTGCCATCAGCTTGAAAGGTGTCAGGTTTTGAGCCAAGCTTCATAAACTTCATCTTGTTCTTTTTTTTTCTCGTAAATAAACCTTACAGAAGATGAGAAAGAACGGGAGAACACTCTTCAAACAAATGCGAGGAGTTTCGCCCAAGTTGCTTGTGGTTGTGAGATGCCAATAAAAAAATGATACCATGTACCAATGAAAGTTTTTCGTTCTTTCTTTCTTTGCTTCTCTCTCAGCTGAGTAAAACCAAACCAGACCAGAAACCGAGGTTCAAAGAGAAATTTGTAACATTTTTAGCTTAATAACCTCTTCAAATACCCTAAACAGAAGAATTAAAACTCTAAATTTCAATAATTTCCTTCAAGTTTAACTGTAACACTTGCACTCTTGAACTTGAAACAAATACTCACCTTTAAAAATGTAAGAATTAATCCAAGCCACCCACGAGTTCTCACAGCAATCTCAGTTCTCATCATTGGGCCTAAATTAGAAGATCCATAACCGACACTTGAAGAGACTTGCCATCCATCAAAATAGCCGTTGAATTAAAATACAAAACACAAGAAAAGGGATTAAAAGACACGTGGCAGAAGAATATAAATAACCAAAACGTAGCGGGAGGTGCACACGCTTTGAATCCAAAGCTTCGATTCTCCCTCTCCCTCTCCCTCTCCCTCTCCCTCTCCCTCTCCCTTTGTCGGTTGCATTCTCCTTATTATTACACTCCCCGAGACCTTCCTTTCATTTTTCCAGATCTGATCGCCTCACCATAAACAACAAATGGAGTCTCGATCGACCTCCATCCGCAAATCGACCTCCATGATGATCTCGGCCATTCTCTTCCTGTCCATGATCCACACCTCTCATTGCTTCTACCTTCCTGGTGTCGCCCCCGAGGACTTCAAAAGGTTTCCTCTTGGTTTCTCTTTACATTTTCTTTCTCATTCGCTTTCTCGCTTGATCTTTTTCTCTCTCTCCTCATTTGATCTGTTTTTAATTTCGTATCTAGCATAATCATAGGATTCGTATAGAACCTCCATGAAAAAAAGGAAATTAATGAAAACTTTGTGTGTGAAGATGATGGCTGTATAAGTCTTATTTCAGATTCCGGTGAGTCCTTGAAATTTGAATAGACTTTGTTTACAAGTTAGTTTCATTTTACTTGATCATTTCTCTTAGTTTCATTTGACTTGATCATTTCTCTTCAACCTTCATTCGACCTTTTATTCAAAACCACTTGGAGGTAACTTATTATATTATGGTGTCTTTTTACATCTATTCGCGCTATCTACATTGTAGTTTATGCGGATCGAGTTGTCTAATGCAATTTAGAATGGTTATTGCTTAAGGAATTGTATCTCGAAAGATATTTAATTTGTACGTTGTCATAATGGAAGCATGCTTGAATTTAATGGTTATTAGTTATCCAAATCTTGTCATGTGGACCTAATTGACTATGACGTTGATTAAACCGCTTTGGATTCTACACTACACGCTATGGTATCTGGGAGTGCTTATTTTGAAATTATCGTGGTCTTGTTAAGTTATTGATTGTTGGTGTTTTCAGGGAGATCCTTTGAAGGTGAAAGTGAACAAATTGACCTCTATAAAGACACAACTTCCTTACTCATATTATTCACTCCCCTTTTGTCCACCACCAAAGATTGTTGACAGTGCAGAAAATCTTGGGGAAGTGCTTCGTGGTGACCGTATTGAAAATTCTCCTTATGAGGTCAGTTTTAGTGTTTCTGATGATGATGGTCAGATTGTTTACTTTATGGCCCTTAAACCGTTTTCTTTGACTGTAATTAATGCAGTTTAAAATGCGAGAGCCTCAGATGTGTTCTGTTCTTCGCCGGATTACCCTTGATGCCAAGGCTGCAAAGCATTTTAAGGAGAAGATTGATGATGAATATAGTCAATATGTATAATATTTGTTTCTCCAACATGAAATTCATCTTTGTTACTTGTAATAATTGTTCTCAAGCTTCTTTGATTCTTTTGACAGGATCCTGGATAACCTGCCCCTTGTTGTTCCAATTAGAAGGCAAGATTAGGGTTCTCCTACTGTTTATCAGCTTGGCTACCATGTTGGTCTCAAGGGCCAAGACACTGGGGTAAACATCAAATCTAATTCCTTTGTTTGCAGATTTTTTAGCTATCGTATATGCTTACTTTGTCTGATTATGTGCAGAGCAAGGAAGAAAGTTTTTATTCACAATCATTTGGCATTTACTGTCAAGTATCATAGGGATCCACTAACTGACTCAACCAGAATTGTAGGATTTGAAGTTAAACCATACAGGTTAGTTCATCTGAGTGCTTGCTTCTTGTTAAAATTGTTATTTCTAGGTGTCCGTGGCTGAGATTACAGTATGATTTTGTGGCATCTTCGTTTTGTTTAAAATAATGCAGTATTAAACATGAATATGAGGGGAAATGGAGTGAGAACACTCATTTAACAAATGCGACCCCCACACAAAACGCACAGTTGTCAATTCTAACACTCCGCAAGAAGTTGAAACGAACAAGGAGATCATATTCACCTATGATGTTGAATACCAGGTGCCTCTTCAACTATAAATGACTTTTAGGGTTGAGAATTGCAAAGTTAGTTTTCCCCAATGTGCTGAAGGTGGAGTTGGATATTTTTTCTTGAAATGTTTTGACATCCCTCATGTATGAGGTGCTAATATTCTTGTATCTTCTTGCGCCGCTTTTTCAGGAGAGTGATGTGAAGTGGGCATCTAGATGGGATGCATATCTTTTAATGAATGATGACCAAATTCACCGTTTTCTCAATTGTCAATTCTCTGGTGATTGTTCTCTTCCTTTCGGGAATGGTAGCAATGATTATGTTAAGGACACTTTACCGTGATATTTCTAGGTATAACGAACTTGAGGCTCAGGAAGAAGCCCAAGAAGAGACGGGATGGAAGCTAGTCCATGGTGACGTTTTCAGACCTCCATCTAATTCTGATCTGCTCTGTGTCTATGCGTGTTCAAATTTTGGGCATGGTACTAGTTACCATGATCTTTGCCGTTCTTGGATTCCTTTCCCCTTCTAACCGAGGTGGTCTTATGACAGCTATGCTCTTACTTTGGGTCTTCATGGGAATTTTTGCTGGCTATGCCTCTTCCCGTCTACACAAAATGTTTAAGGGATCAGAGTGGAAGAAACTAGCTCTAAGAACCGCATGCTTGTTCCCAGGCATCGTCTTTGCCATCTTCATTGTCTTAAATACTCTCATATGGGGCCAGAAGTCATCTGGGGCGGTACCATTCGGGACAATGTTTGCTCTGGTAGTCCTGTGGTTTGGAATTTCTGTTCCACTTGTTTTTGTGGGTGGTTACGTTGGGTTCAAGAAGCCAGCGATTTCCCTGTGAAGATAAATAAAATTCCAAGGCAAATCCCTGAGCAGGTTTGGTACATGAGCTCTATTTTCTCTATTCTGATTGGAGGAATACTTCCATTTGGAGCCACCTTCATCGAGCTGTTCTTCATTCTTACCTCAATATGGCTGAAACAGTTCTACTACATCTTTGGCTTCCTCTTCTTGGTCTTCATTATCCTCCTAGTCACATGTGCTGAAATAACCATTGTTCTTTGCTACTTCCAGTTATGCAGCGAAGATTACCTGTGGTGGTGGAGGTCGTATCCCACATCTGGCTCCCCGGCATTGTACCTCTTCCTCTATGCTATATTTTACTTCTTCACGAAACTTGAGATCACTAAGCTGGTTTCGAGGCTCCTTTACTTTGGGTACATGCTAATTGCGTCATATGCCTTTTTCGTGCTAACGGGCACCATTGGATTTTATGCATGCTTTTGGTTCACTAGGCTCATCTACTCATCTGTCAAGATGGATTAATTTGTAGAGCAGGATATGGTTTATGATATATAAGCTTGATTCAAAGATTGTATCATGCTTTCAGATGATATAATCTCTATTGTCGTCTTAGGTTATGATTCAAGTTTATGTATTCTCTTAATGCTCAATTTTGAGTTAAGTTTTTTAGTTGATTGGAGAATACCTTTTTCTAATGTATGTTGAGAGAAATTTGTCATGATTCTTTTATCAAACGTCTTATTCTCTTTTACTTGCATTAGAAATTTCTGTGAAGATTTCAGGAGAATTGACGGCACGCTTAACTTTAGTTTGAAAAAAAGAAGACAGCCACATGCAATTGATTAATAACGGTGGACTTCTTAGAGTATTGAATCACTTGAGAACCACATGTACCATCTTGATATGATTACACCAAATGCTATAAGGAATTTAGTTTTATTGTTTGCATAAAGAAGAAAACGCCATTACAAAAATGCTCTTAGAACTTGGGTATTATTGTAGATGCTACTTCCTGGGATGAGTATCACTGGGGTCGGCAACGCTTGCTGTCACCTTGGCAACATCAAGTGCACTAGCTTCACGTTTCTTCCTGGTGTACAACACGGAATATGCTATGACCCCGGTGATGAGAAGGCCGCCGACTGTCATAGTAGTCATGGAAACCGGAAGCCTGCGTGTTTGGTGCAGCACTCCTCCAGGGTTGTGGCCTGGTGGCCTCTTGGATGCTTCCACACCTGCTGCTCTTACCTCCTCTGGACTCATCTTGTGGGTATCTGCGTTTTTTCTCCACTCTTCAACCATTTCTCTATCAACTTCAGAAGTTGATATTCCGAGTAGCTTTAATGCTTCCTTTATATTTCTATAAAGGGCTTTATCAATGGAAAGATCCAATATGGCCAACTTCTCTTGGAGAACAACACGAATCGGTTGCACGTAATCGTGTCATACCAAGTGTTCACCCCTAGCAGATGGCGGTAGCACCGCTACTCACCGTTCATTGAAGGAAACCGCTACAGATCACAGCCCAACTTTGTTAGTAAGTGAACACAAAATAGTGGGCTTAACTCATGAAGAGCGGCCTGGCCTGTCTTGGGGAAACAACCCCTTTTGAATAGCTGATGGCTCTTTTACTTTCTATTTAACCGTTACAATGGCCATGGGACAGTTGGTCAGACACCACAGAAGGCCTGGGGGCCAACATTAGCAGTTTAGCACCATCATCAAGGTAACGGCTAGTTTCTAATTCTCTCTCCTGTTCAGCCTCACCTATTATAAATACATCGAGACCCTGGACTCCCAACTCACTTTTCTCTTTGTTATTTATAAACAAATTCACGTCACTTCCTTCTTCTGCTCAGCCTTTTGTTCAAGATTTGATTACCCATGGCTGTTTTGTCAAGAAGGAAGATTTCTTCTTTGGTTTTCTTTCTTCTATTTTTAAGCTTTACAGAAGCTAAAGAAATCTTGGTTGGTGGGAAGCCAGACGCCTGGAAGATCCCATCCTCTGAATCAGATTCTCTCAACAAATGGGCTGAAAATTCCCGTTTCCGTATCGGCGACTCCCTCGGTAATGAAATAAACATGCTTCTGAGTTTAAATACAACGCTGCACTCCTCTTTGTGGCACTATCTTTTTGTTTTTTTTTTAACTTCCTAATTCGGTTTTGGTATTTATATGTTTCAGTGTGGAAATATAATGGTGGCAAAGACTCGGTACTGCAAGTGACTAAGGAAGCTTACACAGGCTGCAATATCTCAAATCTAATTGCAGAGTACAAGGATGGAAACACCAAGGTGAAGCTTGACAAGTCAGGGCCATTTTACTTCATCAGTGGAGCCAAGGGCCACTGCGAGCAAGGCCAGAAGTTGCACGTTATTGTGATTTCTCAAAAGCACAGATACACTGGAATCTCACCGGCACCTTCTCCTGCAGAAATTGAGGGTCCCGCCGTTGCTCCTACAAGCGGTGCTGAGGGGTTCAAGGCCAGTTTCTTGGTCACACTGGGGGTTTTGGCATTGGGTTATTTCTGAGAAATAGATAGGATTTTGCAAATCCATGGGGGATTTTTTATTCAGGTTTTATATAGCTGAGATTACTGCAGTTTTTATACAAATGGTTCCATCATTTGTTCCATTTTTCCCATTCCCAGCGTTTATTCTGAAAAGTACAGCTACTGAAGAATTTCTCCTGTACAATGCTTGAAAGAAAAGACTAGTACAAGTTATGTTCAAATTCTGTAAACCGCAGCCAACACAACCAGAACTTGTGAGACCAAAAAGAGTAACATTTACATTTTGGCTTCTTTCACTGGCTATTACCGGTAGCCGATACAACTGAACCAGAAACTGTGAGACAAAAAACAATTAACAGCATAAGTAGAGTTGGCTTCTGTCACTGACTTCCGGTAGCCGACACAATTGAAGCCGAAACTGCAACACATCTATCGTTTTTATAATGTCATCGTATAATAAAATTATTTGTTTATCAAAATTGTTTTTAAAATTATTTCAAAATCTTGATTATCGATCGCGAGTGGAGCAGTCGAAACTCGTAAAAATTTTGTTACTTATTAAAGGATTTTGTTACTTAACTCAATTGATTGTTAAACTCGTTAAAATTTTTCTTGATTCGTGCTCGTTAAAAAAAATTATTGCTCGACTCGTTGTTTATAAAAGTTGTTGCAAATTAAGCTCGATGCTCGCCTAGTTGTATGTTAAATTCACCGAAACTTTTACCTTGTTTTCTTAACTATAGGTAAAATCTATTAATACTATATTGAACTTAATATAAATATAAATTAATAAGTTTAACTAAAAGTTTATCGAAAGATTGTAAGAAACAATTTCAAAACGTAAACTCCAAAATAACAATCCACAATATATTAAAATAATAAATAAAATTTAATTTTTGGGTGTAGTAAAATATTAATTAATGATTTAACATTTTTTTGTAGTTTATTAGAAAATTAATAGATTAATAATTTTTTATTTTTTTATTATTGTAGTAAATTAATAATTTTTTGAATTAAAAATATTTTTATTATAACTAACAGAAAATTATATAAAAAATTAAAGAGTTGCTTACGAACTTAGTTAAATTTTACTTGACTCAACTTGTTAAAGTTTCGACTTGAGCTCGAATTCAAATCAACTTAAATCAAATTTTTATTAAATTTTAATCTAGTTGAATTTAAATTACTACGAACTATTGAATTCATTAATCACCTTTACACCTTACAATTAGGGAAGTACATTAGAGTTGAAGGTTTTATGCTTTTATTATGTGTGGTAGTAAGAGGCGTGTGATGGCTGACGACGACAGTAACAATAAAGAGAGTAGAAAAGATAAATTGAGAAAAATGATTTTAAATTATGTTGGAAAAGGTGAAAAATAAACTTTTAAAAGTTTAATGATCAAAATGTCGTAACCCAAAAACGTAAATGATTAAAATCAAACTTTTGAAAAACAGATAACCAAAACAGAACAAATCAAAAATTAAAGACATCATTCCTTGTAGTTTACCCAAAAATAAAAATGACAGTGAAAATGGAAGGGATAATCCCAAAGAGCGGAAGAAAAGTATGAAAGGCCTAAATTATGCGGTCATGGAATTGGCACGAGTAAAATCAAGGCCCAATCTCTCTACTTGAAATATTCAAACCTCACTTTGCCCAATCTCTCTCTCTCTATCTCTCAAAGCACAACAGATATTTTAGGTAAGCCAATGCCCTTTTTCTTTCCGTTCTCATGTTCCTTCAAAGACAATGCAAACTGACCAATCTCTGATTACTTGCTCTTGATCCTCGGTTTGTTGGCAACTTTTTAATGATTTTTTTAATACTTTGCTCCATGTCTGCTTGCTGTAATAGTCTCAATTATAGTTGTATTTTAGCTGATAGTAAAGTCTCCTCTTTTAGCTGATAGTAAAGTCTCATCTTTTAGCCATAAAAATGTGACCTTTGGAGGTAGTAGGTGTTAAACCATATTCGGTTAAGCTGTTAGACAGTTGTAGGTTAGTTATAACCGATCATGCAGCAGCTCATTTGTAACACCCCCAACTCGTACCCGACCCGAATACGAGTTTGAGGTGTCACATTGACCGATCAAAATGTTTACTTTGACAAAATCTAATGAAATCCAGTTAGACATTTCCAATCAAACCCAAATAATTTCTATTGTATAAAACGTATGGTTTTACAAATTGATCAGTGTATCCAATACAAATCTTTTATCTTACATGCCAACTACATTTCATATGACAAAATACATATAATTTAAACATATTTCTGATCTGAATTGTGGAAAGGAGAATCTGACCTGTCTTGCTCTTCTACACTTCTCTTCTTGCTTTCTAGAAGCTACGTGTGAAACACTCACACACTAAGTCTATGATTTAGTGAGACATTAAACACATAAAAGTAACTCTAACTACTTAATCATGCATGAACATATCATATCATGCTATCACACAAAATAATATAGCATTTCATGTAATCAATTGTACACATATACACATCATTCATCCTTTCCATCATTAACCTTACTTTACTATCAATATGATTATTATTTATATCTTGTAATTATATACTTTTGTACTTAACGTTTTAACCAACATGACTCATTTAACCACGCAATACACATATCATCATTAAAATCATATGATACAATTCATCTCACAAAAGCATATACATCACATGTAATATATTTATTGTTATATATTTGTTTAGCCCATGCACATTTCTGAGAGCTAAAGATACATGAGTACATAGAGGTTGTGCACTATGCTGTCACCACATCTCGTAAAATTCCCACTAGGGGGCGTATAATTTGTCCCGTAGGACCACTATGTCCCGAAGGACCACTGTGTCCCGAAGGACCACTGTGTCCCGAAGGACCACTGTGTCCCGAATGACCACTATGTCCCGAAAGACCGCGTAGACCCTCGACTCTTGGCATGCCAACTATATCTCTAGATCTCATAACACATAACATGGGCATTATCTTTATATCATTTCACATAGTCATATCTCATATGCTCGTAGCTTTTATCATATCGTTTCCCATCTTCATATAATCATATGATTCACTTTCACGTATCACATATACTTTCTCTTTCATATATCTCATACTATATATCACATGGCTCTTTATCTCATTCTCATATGATCACATAATCATGTAGTTCACTTCTCATATCACTTTGCATTGTTTTACATAAACATATATCATATCTTATTCATATATATATATATATATATATATATATATCCGCAAATACATGTAAGCACATATTTTCTCATCGTATAACTTATGTTACATATGCATGTAATCTTATGACTTATTGTTAAGTAACTCAAATAACATTATTCATATATATATATATATATATATCCGCAAATACATGTAAGCACATATTTTCTCATCGTATAACTTATGTTACATATGCATGTAATCTTATGACTTATTGTTAAGTAACTCAAATAACATTGTATTATTACATACTTTATTCCATAACCATATATTCATATAGATTACATAGCTCATATACACTCATACAATAAAAAATACATACATTTCATATTAATCACATACTTCATGTACTATACTATCGAAATAGACTTATCGCAAGTCAATTTCCATATAATCCTATGCAATAAGATGCACTCACCTTGTCCTCACTATGTTCCAATCCCCTTTCATGATTTCCTTTCTTTTGATCGAATCTTAACTTGATAATCGTTCTGGAAATTGTTCGTGCTCGACATCTATATAATCATACATTGATACATATCAGTATCCAATTGATATATTCTAATCTATCATTTCTTAGACCAAAAGAAAGGTATAATTCTATTTTCCCTTGAAGTGCATCGATACATTCTACAGTGTATCGATGCATTCTTTAACATGTGCATCAATGCACTACCCATGCATCGATACACAAATCACCTTCGATGTTTTCATTTTAAGGGGGTGCATCGATGTACTAATTGCATTCGATGTTCATTTATTTGAGAGTGCATCGATACACATTGAAGATGCATCGATGCACACAACCCAGAAATTCCATTTTGAGCCTGAAAATTCTTACTTTGTCCTCAAATTCTACTTATTAACCCCTCCTTATACCATAAAACTTATATATACATATGTAAACCTTCTTATAATATTATAACACTTCACTATCCCTCATAATTCACCATAATTCTTGAATCAAAGAATTTCATCAAATTTTCCACGTGTTCTTAATTCAATTCTATCACCTCTAACTTCTTAATTAACCCTTTGACAAGTTAAATTTAACCCCCAACTTCAATTACTAACTCTTTTCCAAGATTTTAATTTAAAACCTCTTATTTTCAATCTCTCATAACTTGATAATCTTTGAGTTTTAATCCATCTTAAGCTTTCCTTAATCTTTTCTATCACTCTAAGAATCAAAACCAACTTTAAAACAAAAGAATTAATCAACTTGGAACCAACTTACTTTTGCCATGGAGCTTACGAGAAGAGAAGAAGAAGAAGGTTGAACCAAAGTCTCCAAACTTTTCTATTTTCTTTTCTCTATTTCCACGTGACATCTCTTATATAAAGGAGAAATAAAAATTTCTTATGAAATTACTATTATACCCTTCAAATTTTCCACAATTACCATTTAATATAACACTGAAACTTTTCTATTCAAGTCATTGAACTTTTAACTTATTTCAAAATTAAACACAAAACTTTCAAAATTCACGTTTTAGTCACTAGCCCTGTTTTAGGATGTTACATCATTGACAACTTTAAATAGTTGCACATCTCTGTAAAACGAGCATTGATGAATCATACATTTTTATTCGTTCTTTCTAAGCCTCAACTATAGTTAACATGGTATCATTCATCATTATATCCTGAAAAAGCTTTAGCATTTATAAGTTTTAGCATTTCTTTTTTATTCATTCTTTCTAAGCCTCAACTATAGTTAACATGGTATCATTCGTCATTATATCCTGAAAAAGCTCCGTTGTGTGCTATTCTTTCTTCGCTCGTGCTTTATGGTTCTTGTTTGTCTTTAAAGAACAGTTATGGTTTAAGGCATTACAATGATGACCGAGAATGAGCAGCTGACAGAAGCCAGCTCGCATACATTC